TTGCCCTCCACTGGACTTTCTCCAACTTGCCCACATCCTTTCTGCAGCAGGGGGGGCCAAAACTGGACACAGGACTCCAGATGTGGCCTCCCCAGTGCTGAATAGAGGGGAATAAATCCCTTCCCTCAATCTGCTGGCAACACTCCTACACTGAGCCATTGGTTCGTACCAGTTGAGCCTGACAATCCAGCCAGCTTTCTATCCACCTTACAGTCCATTCGTCCAACCCGTACCCCGTCCGCTTGCACGCTGCTGGTTGATGAGAACCAGAACAAGCAGCAGACCGGTCCCTGGCTCGGGCGAGCAAATTGCAAAAGGTAAACCAGGTGCATAAAGAATCCAAAAAAGCCTAAAAATGGACAGAAAAGGTGATTTTGAGTATCCTGACAGCAAATGAATTTTCACAGCTGTGGGTCCGAGCCAAGCAGAATCAGCGGCTTTTCCTTTCTGCTGCATCCAACGCAAAGCAAAATAACAATGCTGAAACAAGTAGCTGCCTCCCCCCACCGCCTCCGGCCTCCTAACGCCTCCTTTTCCTGGTGAGCTGTTTTACAATAAGCAACCCGCTGGGGTCACAGAAACATGAGAGCGGCGCCTTTCACCTCGCACAAAAGCGGGTGCAGGAGGAAACCTCCGAAGAGCTTTGGAAAGGGAGGGGAAAAGGAAAATAAAATAAAATAAAATAAGAGACTTAACACTACCCCCTTGTCATCTTTGTCCAGGCTTCATCAGAGACCGCTGCTCTCCCTTTTCAGCTCCCCGTTTCTCAGCCAAGCTCCTCAGGTGTTCGGCTGTCATCCAGGCCCAGAAAAAGCCATTTGCCAAACTGCTGTGAAATTCAAAGGTTGTTCAGAGATGTGGGCGGGGGGGGGGAAGGGACAGCAGTTTTTTCTTTCCTACCTTAAAAAGGCAAGAGGAAGCAGAACCAGGGAACAAAATGGGACCGAACGGATGAAGCCGAAATGGGGAAGCGCAAGAGCAGCTATGCCCCCCTTAAACCGGGGCTCAAGGGAATCAAGCAAAACAATGGGCTGCTTGTGACGGGAGATGGTACCAATGTCTGGCCTTTGAGCAAAGCAATGGCTTCTGGGGCTGGGAATTGCTTCAATGCAAAAGTAGATGAGGCAGAAGGGTTGCATGGCAGGGGTTTTCTGCGTGACAAATGCTAGGGAGCTGCCTGAAGCATCAATTAGCAACCCGGCTGCCCTTCTTTTGGACAGGATGTAGCTGCTGGAGGCAGGTATTGCATGCCTAGTTGCTGGGGCATCTCAGCAGCACGCCGTCCTCTTGGCCTGTCTCAGCCCTGACACAAAGCCCCGGTCCTGTTCACACCTTCCTTCTTGCATAGAAACTCTGCCCTGTCGCCCACCCTGACCCTTCCCCACTCCCACCAGCCCATTCCTGGCGAGCAACATGCAGGAATAGAAATGCCCGTGCATTTAAAGAACAGCACGTGCAAGTCTCTAAATGGCTATAATCGCGCTCAGAGAGTTGCCCGCCAGGGCCGGGGGTCTCGCACGGGGATGCTTCTGAAACACGCCAGCCATAGGCACGACGTCCCTCGCACGATGGCTCAGCGGTCAGTGCTGCCAGCTTTGCAGCCCGGGCTGAACAGCTCAGCTCCAGCTGTGGCATGGAGCTCAGGGCCCGCGTCCATCAGCCGCGGCAGCCCTTCCCGTCGCGATGCTGCAAAGGAAAGGTCTCGTCCTGCATGAGCCGAGCGCCAAAAGGCCCCTTGCACCCGCTTGGCAGGAGCTCAGCCCCCCTCGCAGGCCTGGGCCAAAGCAAGGGCGAGAGAAGCCTTTCAAAAGAAACTCCTTCAGCAGACCGGGATAACCGCAGAGTACACTCTTATCGGAGCCCCTCGGCGCCAGACGTTGCAACGCACACAAAAGCCCAAAAGCAGCTCTCGGGCCGAGTCAGCTCAGGCTTAATATTTGCATTTCGTAAAGCAAACTCATAAATCCCCACAGGTTTATCTGCACTTCCAGTTTGTATTTATTAGCGAGAGTGACAGGCCGGTTTTCCTCCTAGTTACACAGGTAAATAGCAAATCAAGCTCCCACACCCGTCCCTTTTTAACGGCCCGGCCTTCTATTTACCCTCCATCTCTAAACACGCCGGGATTACACGACCGACCGACAAGCAGAGCAAACAGCCTTTGAAGTAAATATTAGTTATGAACGGGGAGAAGTCCACCGCGGAGCATCGGGCAAGCAGTGGCCAGGGAGCAACATCCCCGCACCGCGGGGGGAAATCGTCCCCGAGCCATGGAGACGGGGATCATGGCACCGCAGAGAGGACCGCCAGCAGCACCCACGCCGGCATGTCCATGCAGGCGAGGATTAGTGCAGGAGTGGCTCCCGGCCAAGGAAGAGCTTTGAACAAGGATCCCAAAAGCAGGCAAAAAAAAAAAAATAGGCTAACGATTTACATCCTAGACCACGCGTGCAGAGGTGGGGGGCGTAGGCAGGAGCCCGCTCGGGTTAAGGCTCCTACCCTGGCGTTCTCAGGGAGCCAAGTTCAAATGCAACCTAAGGTAAAAGCCATGCATGAATTGCCTGAGTCTGATTTTAACTCTCATTTAGGAAGCTTGGTGCATGCACAGGATTCGTTTTAACCTGTCAATTCTTTTAAAACCCAACTGATTAGGTTACTGCAACCCTTAGTGTGGATGCAGCTATTTGAGGATAAGGGCACATCCTATTAGTCTACCCAGTTGGTTCCCTTTGCAGCACGGGAGTGAGCTATGCTGGTTTGGTATGTTTAACAACATACGTGTTAGAGGGGTTGCATGTAGGCAGCCCCAGGTTTAGAGATACCCAGCGCTGGACTCAATGCACGCTGCGTTTCCGGGGAGCTTTGGGGTGAAAAGCAGATTGCCCTGCAGGTGTACACGAGCTCCATCCACACCCAGTGTGCATGAATGAAACGCAGCGCAGTGACTCCAGTGCTTGGTATCTCTGCCGACTCGGGGCCTGTCTGCAAGACAGAGGGACTGAGCAATAAAGCAGAAGCCCTGGAGAGATGCTGTGCACACTTCCCCCCACCTTTGCTCCCTGTTTTGACACTAAAAGTGAGAAGCATGCAGAGTCCTCCTTCCCTTGCCCTTCCCCTTCCAGCCCCAGGATGGATCCGTGCCAGCCGCGATGGCAGGTCTTTGGGACCTGCAGAGACCTGGGAAGCAGAGCTGCAACGGCACAACAGAGAAGTAACTGCACCTCCGCCCTCCGGGCTCTCACCCCGTCCCCATCGCACCTTGCTCCTACTAACAGAGGTGGGGCGAGCAGATAGACCCGGTGCTCCTGGATGAGAAAAGACCCCCGTGGCCACCCACAAAACACCGGAGCTGAACTACTCCGGTATCACAGCCTCCCTAGCAGAAACCCAACATGCATTTGTCCATCCCAGCCCTGAGGTACACCAAGGGTTTTAAGTGCAGTCACACAGAGGACCATCAAGCGGGTGCACGTGGGTGATGGGGGAAGCTCAGCTTCAAGCCAGTAGACCCACGTGTCAGGTGGTTTTCAATGGAAACAGCTGGGTGCAGGGCCTATCGGTCAGATTCAGCCCACCGTTACACCTCTGCTACTCCATTTGGGGCATCCTAGGAGCGTGCAAGCAAAGGGCGGCTTTGGCTCGGCAAAGATGAACGTGGGAGGGAGGCGCAGCACGTGCATGACGTGTCTGCATCGTGCAGAAGCCGGTGCAATTTGCTACGCAGGCAGGAGGAAGGGGTTGTCGCTTGCATAGATGTCACAGACTTTAGGGCTGGAAGGGACCGCGCGAGATCATCGGGTCCAGAACCAGCCAGCAGGACGGTGCCAAAAACTTGGCACCTGCCTCTTACTCTCCTCTCACCGATCCCTCTATTCATTTTCCCCATTAAATGACTTATGCCGGTATCCCCCCATGCAGAATTGCCGCACGTCCTCGTTTCCACTAGCACGAAGGTTGGCCCAGGACATAACAGTGCAATTCCCTGCCGCCCGAGAGCCATTTCTACACAGCCTGCATCATTAGCTCCACCACCGTCAGAACAGACAGGATTAGGACCCGGGGCTGAGTTGTCTCCCTATAAACACTTTAGGTGTATTTTTAGCAAGAGAAAAGTGCGATGAATCCCCAGCGAGCAGCCGCAACAGGACTCGGAGCAATCATGGAAATCCAAGTTTGACTCGGAGGGGAAACCTGTAATTTGCCTGAAGGCTGTTCCTACTCGTTGTGGCTGCCGGGGGCAATTGGCCGAGTGCTGCTTTGCTCTTCATGGCTGCCAGGAGCAGAAATAACCGGGAGAACAATTCAGAGGAGCTCGATGCCTGCAGGATCGCTCCTGCCATTTTATTAGAGGTCTCTCTCCATGCATCTCGAGGCCCTTGTTGCATGTTTTCTGTAGAAATGTTTCCCGAGAACAGTGCTACACCATGGAGTTATTTCAGAAGATGGGACATTTTCACACCAAGGGGCTAATTCGCCTTTTGCTTAGAGACAATTTCCACCAAATTATTGTTGCTTCTCTCTCTGGAAGTAAGGGGAGAGAGCCAAGCCCTGCGTTAGACTTGCCTTTAAACACCAATGGCCGTAAGGAAGATGATATATCCCTTTGGGGCTGGACTCGAGGTCCCTTCCAGCCTAATGTCTATGAAAACCTAACATCTATGAAATGTATTAATTTTGCCACGCTGCCAAGAGGAGACCAGGGCATCACTTGGCACGTTCAGGTCTGTAAAGCCAATGCAGAACTGGGCTGCTGAATTTTAGGGACCACGCACGAAGCCGGCTCCCTTTCACCTGTTAGCAACTCTCAAGCACCGTTGTTACAAAACCAAATCTGCTCACACCGCCGTCCAATTTAGGGTTTCATCCCACTCTTGAATTTTAGTTCAAAGAGCAAAAACAGGTCTTAAAAAAACAAAAACAAAACAAAAAAACCCTTTTGAGTCATGCTAGCCTGAACAATGGTTTCAAGTAAAAGAAAAAAGATGGGTGAATTTGGGACCAGGTATCTGAAAGTTTTAATCGCATATTCAAGAGGACAAAGACACTAAATCAAAGGCATGCAGGAAGCCGAACAAAGTTAAACCATTAAAATGGGTGCCCAAGCTCCAATATCAACCTTTGAGAAGACACATCGTGGTTGTACACTGCCAATACCCTTATACGAGGCTTTGCTTCTCTTTATTCTACTTTGTCTTTGGTCACAATATAGTCTACGTTTAAAAAGAACTGAAGAAGGCACAAGATCTCAAACCATTTTAAAAAAGAATATGTAAAACCTTCATCATTTAGGATCTCCCTTTTATTGTATACGTACATGGTAACTCCTTGCCTTTTGCATGGACACTATAGGGTAGGAAACACATGTAGAGCTGGAGGAAAAAAACAGGCACTTGAAGGAGGGGGGAGTTAAAATTGTAATGGCCATTAGGGGTGCTTAAAGTCACAGGTAAGAGATGGGACAGGGAAGCCTGTTTTGGCCCAGCCAGGCTGGTACATATGCAGTTTTGCTTGGTTTGGGCCAAGGTTGTCCAAGCACAGCCTTTATAGTCAGCCTCATGCACTCCAGGGCCTCAGCGTGGAGGTCTCCGTGATAAAGCAAATGGAAAAGACCGGGCATGAACAAGGCAGGAAATGGATTTATTAAGAAGTGTTTCTGTGGGTGAAGCCATCACTGTCACCTTGATGTCCCTGCAGCTGTGGTTGTGGGTCCAAGGTGTTGCTTCACCGGGCCACACGCCGAGCTTCATATATTCTCCAAATGGAGCAGCACCTATAGAAACGCGGTGGATCCTCCTGGGATCGATGGCCTCTCCTGGGCTTGAAGCACCGGAGCATCTGGGACCTCCCACAGCTGCTCACCTCGCAGCGTCAGACTCGCGAGACCACGTCACCAAACTGTTCAAACCCCGGTGTGATCCTCGTGGCACTCTGCTCCGAAAAAAAGAGAAGAACGAAAAACCGCGTGGCTTTGCTTTTATTATTCCCGCTGCAAGAGGCTGCAGCATATGAGCAACATGCTTTCCTTGCCTAGTCAAACCATCCACGCTTCCAGGACCGAGACCCGAAGACGTAAGAAAAAATTCCAGCGCCACCTCCGTGGAAACAGGAAAACACTTGGCCCTTTAGAGAGCAGGATAGTAATAATAATAATAATAATTAAAAAAAAAAAAAAAAAAATCAAGCTACTGCATGACCCCAAACCACTAAGCTATTTGCCCCGAAGCATCCGGCCTGAAAGTCACCCGGCCAAGAGGAGAATTTCCAAGTCTAAAGGCCCATCAGCGAGTGCCTCCGGGGCGGCTAATTCAGTCCCATTGAGCCCCGCGTGGGAATCCACAGGGTGAAGAAGTCAGAGCCAGGACACAACGGAGGAAAGGAAAAATCCCTGGCAAAGCAGGAACGTGAATCACAGTCACGACCCCGTGGACGGGCAACAAGACTTCCCGCGGCAGGAGCAGGCAGCAAGATCGCCTTCGGCCTCAAATCCACTTCGATTTCTGGAGGAGCTCCTTTCCCTGAAGCTCCCGCATCCTCGTCGGTCTTGCTCAGCCCTCTGAAGGCCTGCCCAGCATGCCAGGCACAGCCCGTGCCCCCGCGGCCGCTCTGGGTCTCCCGTTTCCATCCCAGGTCCATATCCTCGGAGCAGGCTGTTCCCGCATCGTGGCACCTGCAGAGAAAAACAAGGTGTTAACACCGGTCATTGAACCATTAATTGCACCAAAGGAAAAGCCGCTTCTTTTGAGTACTGAACCTCAGCTGCAGCTCAGAGACCAACACAAAGCATGGCATTGGGGAGAGCGGCAGAAGTCCCTGCAAAGTTTGGGACCCAATGCTGCAAGGGTTGTGTGCAAGTTGGGCTGAATTCAGAGGCGGTCAAGTGCGCTCAGCACCTCTAATGGGAGGCTCAGCACCTTGCAAATGGAGCCCTGGGTAAGTCCCAAGCAAAGTCCAGGAGTCACCCCCCTCGCCAAACCCTCCTCTGCCTGGAAGGAGGCAGCGGGTACCTTCGGACACCAAGTCGTGCTAATCCGAGCTGGTCAGAGTGACCAGTCGTGGAGGAGCGAGTGGTGGAGCCGGCACAGGGCATGAGGAGGTTTGGAGAGCTGCCAGGTGACAGCTTAGGGAGAAAAACCTGGTGCTTTTGAGGCTGGAAGCTCTTTGCACCAGGGACCGTCACTATTCGAAGGCACAGAGCCAAGCGCGCAAGGGGCCCAAAAGAACGGTTACAACGAACAGCAAGAATCAATCTGAACATCCCCAAACTGCACTAGTTGGGCTCCATGTGCTTCCTTTCCCTCCACGCCGCCCTTTGGCCTTGCTCATGAAGACCACCAGCTCTTCTGGGACGCAACCATGTCTTCCAGTATATCTACACAGCCGGCCACAATCCTCACCAGAAACCGTAGGCCTTGTTGCAATGCAAGCAAACACCAACACAGCACCAGACGGCCGGTTCTGGGGACTCGGCCCGTCAGGAGCAGCCGTGCAAGGTTTCCCACACCCCACGCAGGCAACGCGCCCCATCCTGGCCACACATGGGTCAGCCCTTTGCATCCCTCCAGCGGAGGTGACATCATTAAGGGACCCACCAGCAAAGACGGACTTCTCCGCGCTAGGAGCTGACTAGCTCATTTCAAGCAGGCTGCCAAACAGCTGGCGGTCGATGATGACTTACGGTCCCATGCTGAGCCAGCCAACACAAGGGGCTATAAGTCAAAAGACCAGAGAGGAGAGCAAGCTGAAATCGTCCACGAAGAAAGCAATGGTACTTGGCTCAAGAGAGCGAGCGGAGAAATGCCAGCTGTTCCTAGCCGAGGCCTCCATCCTTGTCTTCACGTGAGATTAAGGCACCAATTCTGTCATTTGAACCTCTGCCGAACGGAGCGGATCTGGACTGAGCGTGCTGGAGGGTTAGTGAATGCCTCGCGCAGCTGGGAGCCGGCGACAGGAAGAAATCAAAATGCCATTTCTACATGACAAAGGGCCGTGACGGGACACACAGGAGGATGGAGCATTTCATGCTAGTTTTCAGTATGTATGTTGATTATATATATGTCATACACATAGTCGTGAACATGCACACACACACACACACACACAAGCAGACATAGACATATATAAACAGAGAGATCTTTTCCTACAAGAAACTCCAAGCAATGTACAAGTTCCTGATTAAGCATCCCTAAAAAAGCCCCTGGGACAGCTGGTGATCTCCATATTCTGCAAAGGGAGGAAGTGAGGCACATTCATGATAAAGGCAAATACAAGTCTCAGCAGACTCAGCTCCATGTTAGGGAATAATGCCTCTGTGGCCAGGGCCCAGGTGTCCCAACTGATCGCCCTATACCCTCAAGAGTGGAGAAACCTGCCTGTCTTGCACCAAAGCTAATTTTCACTGATGCAAAATTGCATTTCCATTGTCTGTATCCTCAGCTGAGACGGGGAGGATCCTACAGCTGCTGCGGGGGTTGACTTTGGTTTCTCAAAGCTGCCGTGGGTGTTGAGCGAGGAGAAGGAGAGCAGCGAGGTGGCAAGTGCTGGGCAGCACAGAAAGGAGCCCTCCCCATTGCAAAAAGGCTCTCCTCCGTGGATGGGAGCAAAAGCAGCATTTTGGAGACTAACTTGCTGAAGGCATCCGACCTTCATCCAAGACACACCCAACCTCCATTTGGCTTTTGGAGGCTTTTTCCTTGCTTCGGGGGAATCCGATTGTTCTCCGATTCTGGTTTTGTGACAATAAAATTAAATCAGAGCGTTTGATCACGAGCAGATATCCTAATGAGTACACCCTGCTCGGCTTCCCTGTTCTGCTCCGATGCCAGCTGGCAGCGTAGGGAAGGAGAGGAAGAGGTCTACTGTCACGACTCATCCGTTCAGATCTCTGCTCACTTTCTGCCTGCATCCTGGTCCCCCGATACATCGGCAATGTCGAACTGTAAGTAGACGGGAGGTGGTTTGCCCAAGAAGGTTGCCTGCACATTGGGCACGGGAGTCTGGGGGTGAGGACAAAAAGAGCACAGCTCCCAGGTGTCTGCAAAACCCCCATGCAGGAGTCTCCCCAGTGCTTGCAAATGTGCTAAAAAATAAAACCCTTTAAGAGCTTCCAGATGTTCTGCTGATGTTGTGGCGTTACCCAGCTCAACCCCCCCAGGGCCCATACGCAGCCTCCCGACTGCCTGGATGAAATAGCAGCAGCCAAGGAGAGCGGCAGGGGGGAGTGGAAGAGGTCAAAATCCTTTCTCCTCCTTTTCCCCCGGACCTCAGCCTGTTAACCCCTGCGCTGCTGGGCAACATGTGCAGTGTGGTAAGAAAGCTGTCCCCCCTCTCCTGCCCACCTGCAGCTCCGAGCACATCCTCATCAGGCATGTGTGCAGCGAGGCCTGTGCAGCAGAGCTCCTGAATGATGCAAGTCGAGGAAGAAGAGCTGCTGCCTCGCGTACTGGGCCCTGCCGGCGTATCGGGCTGCATCTGCCTGGGCTCTCTCTGAAACCAGGTCCACAAGGGAACAGAACAAGTGACAGGGCCTATTAGCCCAGCTAATGAGCACAAATGCAATTAAAGAGGCAGCTCAGCCGCAGCAGTGCAGCGTGCTGTCTGTGTACAAGCAGCACGGAGGGTGGAGTGGATGCTGGAGTCGTGTGCATGGCAGGCCTGGGCTCTGCCCTCGATGTTATCCAAGCCTCTCAGACCCATCCTACGCCCATGCATTAAACACGACTGGCAGCGGAGCGCGACCGAGACAGGAATAACAGATCGGACCGGACTAGCACGGGATACAACAGATATCAGGATCGAGATGCCTCGGCAGAGAGGGATGGATTGCGGATAACGCCAACCCCTGCAATGACAAACCTGACACGCATGGCAGGTGTCACCGCAGGGACCAAATATGGAAGATGCTGTTTGCATTTAACACACACCTTCTTCCACTGCCAGATCAAATCGCCCTCAAGCAGTTCAGAAGGAAAATGGCAGTTTTGGTCGTAATACCCTGCCCTCTCCTATCGGAAAAGAGAGCGGAGCAAACTGCATCCACATTAGGATTGGGGCACCAGAAATGGACCTTTCTGAGCGCTGGTTTTGCAGACAGACACACTCACACGCTTGGGCACACCGGGCTGGGGCTTCTTTACTCAAGGCGGGACAAGGTAAAACGCACTTCTTTTGAAGTCTACCCCCCTGACGCTGGCTGCACAGTTGGCAGCAATCAGACCTCCATAAAACACTGATATCGCAGCTATGTGCGCAGGCTCTGATGTGTTATCTCCCCCTCGCAGGGCGTGGCGGGGGTCACCGCGTGCGGTGCACTTGAAAAACACATTGCCGCCGGGGATCAAAGGGACTTCCTGCAGTGCCTGGCATGAGTTCCCGAATGGGGCGCTCCCACAGAGGAACACCTGGGCTTTTATCATCGTGCCCGGGGGGCCTGCAGATCCACGCAAGTCGTGCAGGGCTGCAAAGCGTTGCATGCGAGTCCCAGCCGCAGAGGCACCAGTTCCTGGAAAAGTCACAACAGATCGAGGGGGTGATTGCAGGATATCGCTTATCTTAGGTGCCTCATCATGGCTAATGTATTTATCCCCCTCCCTGACACTCGGATGAGATAGAGAAGTGCTACAATCCCCATGGTACAGATAGCCCTTTTGGGCCTCTCTTTCCTGGCCAAGGGATGGCACAAAGTCAGCAGCGTGGCACGGAAAATGAGCCCAAGCTTCTCATGCCCTAGGCAGCATTGTAGCTGCTGGAGCATCCTACCTCCTCAATCGCCGAGATGATCCCTCGGAGCATCGGGGACCACCACCCTGGATGCGATGGGAGAGGTGTCCATCCCGCTTCACTTCTGGGACTTAGGGCTGTCTGCAGGAGGCATCTCGCTAAGCAGGAGATGCCACTATCCAGCATCTCAACCATGTCACATCAACCTCTGCCAGGCTCCAGCAGGCAAAGAAGGGTTGAGAGCACGAATGCTAATGGTGAATGCTGCAGGGGCTGCAGCTGCCTAGCGCTAAGCCTCATCCAGAGACTGAGCCCCGTCCTTGAGAGGGGCCAGCAACCCACAAGGCTTGATGGGTTGCCATTCCTCTCCTTGCATGGTCAGAGCAGGAGACCTGGCCAAGTACCAGTCAGGACAACTCCCGTCTATTAGCTAGAAAATCCTCCTAGGGTTGCAAGCTAGAAAATCCTCCTAGGGTTGCAAGGGGAGATGTTTCATAGTAATTTCCCTTTTTCATAGATGCTAGGGTCGGAAGGGACCTCAATAGATCATCGAGTCCAACCCCCGATGATGTTATTCTTCACCAGTGCCCCCAAAAGCTGCAGGATATCCTGGGGCTACTGCGGCCCTGCCCTCTGCTCCTCCTCCCAGCCCAAGCTGGGCTGGTGGGAGAGGGATCCTTAGCCACACAAGTGTCCAGAAGCCGTGGGGAGGGTAAAGACCCAGGAGCAAAGCCAGGCATTGCCTACTCCTCCGCATGGAGGAGCCGAAGACCTGCATCCTTCCCGTAGCAGAAGGCCGAGCAATTTGCCTGCGAGGGCCACCCAGGCAGTGAGTCAACGGGGCCTCGAGGCTCCTCTTGGCTGAAAGCCCTTTCTGCTGCAACCGCTACACCACACAGCCTCCCTGGGGACGTGGGGGAGCGAGAAGAAAGAGTCCTGGGTCTCTAGAGC